TTCTCAAAAATTGACCACATACTGGGGCACAAAACAAACCTTGGCAAAAGCTAAGCTGGTACATCAATGATGGTCCAACGCCAGCTCCAAGGACTAAAAACCACATCAATGACCAACAGAGCAAACGACATTGGTGCAGTAGTGGTACTTTTATCTTGGGGATAATCAACAGCTATCTATCTAACTGGACTTAAAGCCTAGTCAATGGGAAGAAACTCATGTCTGGTACTGTAAACCTAGCCGGCAAAAGCTAAGCTGGTACATCAATGATGGTCCAACGCCAGCTCCAAGGACTAAAAACCACATCAATGACCAACAGAGCAAACGACATTGGTGCAGTAGTGGTACTTTTATCTTGGGGATAATCAACAGCTATCTATCTAACTGGACTTAAAGCCTAGTCAATGGGAAGAAACTCATGTCTGGTACTGTAAACCTAGCCAAATACACATAGCTGGAGAGGTCATAGATCTTAGAGACAACCCAAGGCTCTCATATCACTAGACAAATGTAATTTCTTACTATGTGCAAAATATGGATCCTTAAATTTACAGACAAGTATCCTACTCACCACCAATCCAAGTAGCTTCTTTTTACAGTTATGCCACTGGTATAACTGGTATATATCACAGAGATTGTCTGTGACTTGCCCAAGCCTAAGTGGCACATTTAGTATGCAACCTCTATATCTAAGACTCACAGAACATAGAACAAGGAATGAAGAGAACACTAATGTATCCTTCAATTCTCATCAATGAAGCACTCTCATGCAACAGAGGGGCAGGAATAGAAAATGTCACAAATGGCCAAAACACAGAGAATAAGAGTCAGCAGAGTGTGGTCCTTGGACAGGACTCCTACATTGAGGTCCACCCACCCAGGGCTCAGTGACCATTGTGGAAGAGGGGGCAGAAAGACTGTAAGAGCCAGGGAGGAGGTGCATGACCATACGGAAATAGTCCTACAGGTGCCTGGGACCCTTCTCATACAAACCTACAGCAATAGTGTCAGCATGCACAAGACCCATGCAAACTTAACAAACCCACAGCAATGCTGTCAGCATGTACAAGACCCATGCAAGCTTAGGTAGACAAAAATCCGGCACAGAACTGTGGAAATGAACAGCAAACCCCAATCTTAGTCAAAGAATTATTGGCAGCTGAGTACTGCTGGGTGAGGAAGAGCTGATGTTCTTGAAGGAAGACACTCTAGATAGGCTGACTAAACCCCAGTGGATGAACTTGTATTGAGGGACATCACGGGACACTAACTTTACATAATAAACCTTAAGACAAATGACAGAATGTATGAACTCCTGTCAGGGGGCTACGGGAGGGGGCCAAAGGGGAAGGGGGTGTAAAGATAATTTTATGTATGAAATACACAAAAATTCAATTAAAAAAATTTTTAGCTGCCATGTAGGTGCTGGGAATCGAACGGGGACCTCTGCAAGAGCAGTCAGTGCTCTTAACCACTGAGCCATCTTGGGGCTACAGGGAGACCCTGTCTCAAAAAGACCAAAAAAAAAAATCCAATCTCTCTTCCCAAGCCATAATCGTTATCACTGTATAATTTTCTATGCAGGTTTATAGGTTATTTATTTTGCCTTTTGTATTCACCCCTCCTTATGCCACTAGAAGACAAGCACCAAGGAGGTGGGGATTTTGTTACTGATGTGCCTCCAAAGCCTACAAAATATTATCCCTTCATATTGTCAAATCAATGAGAGTCAGATATTAAATCTGAAATCTGCTTAGGGAGAACATACTGTGTAATGGAAAAAACAGCAATTTTGATAGATGGTTTCTGACTATCAGTAGTCAATATTATCTTATGATACCTAAAACCAGCAAATGTTGCTTTGTCTTTAAGGTAAACATTGAAATGCTTTCTCCTTCCTCCACAATTTTGGGCATAAACTATTTAACTGTTATCTGATTACAAGTTATTCTATGACCTGCAGGATTCTCTTCTCCCCTTCCCCCTTCCCTCCCTACCTTCCTTCCAGTTTGGCTTTTGAGACAGGTTCTCTCTGTGTGATCCAAGGTAGCCTGGAACCTCTTGCCCCAGCCTTCTGAGTACTAAGATCACAAGCTTGCACAACCATATTCAGATCTATTTGTACGATTCATTTTTGGCTCTTGACCCCTACTACCCTGAAGGAGTTGGAACCGCACCATTTGCTAAATGAATTTCCATCTTAATTTAGGTTTCCAGCACACCAAATCTAGTATTATGGAGTGAACAGCTTTAACATTTACCTGTTTATTCAAGTCAGAAACCTGGGCATCATCCTTTAGCCTTCTTCTGTCTCAAGTTCAGATAATGTTGTACCCTTCCTAAAGACTGCAGAGCCAGGGGCTGGAGAGATGGCTCAGCGGTTAAGAACAGTTAGTGTTCTTGCAGAAGACCGGGTTCGATTCCCAGCACCCACTGGCAGCTAACAACTGTCCATAACTCCAATTTCAGGGGACCTGTCAGCCTCTTCTGTCCTCCTCAGGCATTGCATGACACATCACTTACCTACATGCAGGCAATACACACATATAGATAAAATAAAAATAATAAATAAAAATTTTTTTTAAAAAAGACTGCTGAGCCATAGTGTAATTTGCACTACCTATACAATGATTATACAATTTTAGTACTTCTCTCAGTGTGGCCACTGCCCATTTTTGTCTTCTATTAGTTTTTTATTTATTCACTGTTCTATCTCTGTATTTTTCATAGTGCTTGGCACATAGTTATCACTCAAGGCAAATAATAGTTTTTATTTCTATTTTCAGTTTTGCTATTTCCAGAGTTCTGTGTACTGTTTGGCTTCTCTTATAGCTCAAAATATGTTAAGTGAGAGGCTGGAGAGACGGCTCAGTGGTTAAGAGCACTGACTGCGTTTGCAGAGGACCCAGGTTCCATTTCTAGTGCACCCACAAAGTAGCTAACAACTGTCAATAACTCCAGTACCAGGGGATCTGACACCCTCTCCTGGCCTCTGTGGGCACTGAGTGAAATGGGTGCACTTACCTACATGTAGGCAAAACACTAACACACATAAAAATAAAAATTAAAAAAAAATCTTTCCAGGTATGTTAAATGGGCTAAGGATAGTGGTTGCATGCCTTTAATTGCAACACTTAGAATTCCATACTTTACACACGCACACAAGAGATGAGAGAGAGAGAGAGAGAGAGAGAGAGAGAGAGAGAGAGAGA